AGTACTTTGTTGTTTGTTTACTGTAAACTGTCGAGATTTAAATTAATGAATGGTTCCATGTGTAAATCTACATGTCCTGTCTCATTCTTTGTGGCTCAACTGTCACACCCATTGGGAAACACACCCACTTACGAGATCCCAAAATTCCTGTTTTTGCGGGCGCACTTCTCTACTTTGCCAGAATCCCTTGAGATTCCACAAAGAACAAGAAAAAAAGATACAAAAATTTCAGGAAGGAGTTAAAAGGAGACAAAATATTTAAATAAGTATTAAGAACAAAACTAAATCTTATTGAAGTAAGGGTACACGAAGTCACTGGAGATATACAGAGTGACTGCAATAAATAAACTGAAAAGTAAAGGAAGACTGTAACGCAAAATAATTGATTATTGTGGTAGAAAATAACATCAATTACAGAACAAAACATCTGAGAAATGAAATGATAAATGTGAAGATCAAATTTGTCATGCCTCTTTCTGCATTTGCCAAAGAATTTCAACATAAAACACCATTTACTATGAAATACTGGAATAGGAGAACCTATTTAGTCTACACCTATTACCAATACTGCAGTGCTATATGTTACTACACGACCTTCCTGGACTACCCCAGCTATTTCACTACTAAATTCAATCCTAGAATTTAGTTGGACAATTCAACAATATTGCCCACTTGAAAAAACACAGGTTATGATGGAAAGATACCTTGGGAGGCATATTAATCTCAGTTCAATATAATTTCCAAAGTGAATATAAACAACAAGCTATTCATCTTGCTGCCCATTTGAAGTGAACAGCTTTAACGACGTTAAGTAATCTTCCAGCTGAAATGTGTAACAACTATCAAGCATTGAAAACTACCTCATCTAACAGGTTTGGCGTGACACATCAGAAGGAAGTATGCAGAGCAAAGTTCTAGAACAAAAGAGACGTTAGCCGAACTTGCAGAAAATTTGGAAAGGCTTACCCAGATATTCAATGTGAAATGATGAGTCCGTTGGCATGTGACAAATTTAAAGATGCCATAACAGATGAGGGGATGAGAATTAAGTTGAAGCAAATTATGTATACATCTTTAAAATGCTTTGCAGTTGACAACAGAACTTGAATCCATTAAAGTTCCAGATTAACAGCTTTTCTGATATTAAACTCACAAAATACTCATTAATTTCACTAACTGATTACTTGTATTTATAAATATTGAACTTTCGACTCTAGATATTAGACAAAGCTTCTTGATTATTACATCATAATTGTTAACAGCTGCTTCTAGCAAACAACTAAATTATAATATTGAAAGTATAGCTTACAAGATAATAAAATATGTTTACTATTATTGATTCAAAAAACTGATTTTTTATATTGGAAACTTCAAATTTAAGGACACCGAGTGAGTTTGTCATCTTCTCTTAAATGTACTGGATTTTGTGTAATTCAGTTTGTTTATAAAATACTATAGATACCAATAAGTAAAGCTATTCAACTGCACAACGAAAGGTTCGTGGTTCATAATATTTGTAGTGTGAAGTATGAATAAATTCAACTATACTGCAAAAAGTTTTATGAACAGAAACACTTTCTTGTGAATAAAAGTGAAATGATGCTTGATTCAAAAGTGGGACCAAAGTATTTGAATGACAGTTCACTTCTTCCTTGTAGGGTTGATCATATGGATGTGCTAGTTTATGTCATAATTAGCATGAGAATATAATTTTGTTCAAGTTTTTTTAAACATTTGAATGCAGGTGTTTTGCATTTAGTTAACAATCTAGGTAATTGTGAAATTCCTTTAATTAGTACCCAAACCAATGTTAAATGTGTGATATAGGGCAGTATAATGCGTGTTTTTGGAAAATTATTCAATTCCAAGAGCACCAGAGAGAAAGAGCAAATGTAAAGTGTGAGAAAACTTTTGTGGTGTAAGCGTGAAACTCCAGCTTTCCACATGTTTGTGGTTATTGAGTTTCAGTTGTCATTACAGTTTTTATATATACCCCATATAATCATCTAATAATTAATCATAAATTAGTTCTCACAATTCATTATTAAATACTGATCATTAATTAGTTCATAACCACCTGTGTACAACTGGGTGAAAATGTACAGTTACAACCTTTCACAGAGTTACATTCAAAATTGAAGTAAGTTACTTTATTATCAATGTATGCCAATGATATTGGCATCAGAACATATATAATATAAAAATTTGAATTATAAATTAAGTTTTAACTTAATTTAAAAAAAGATATATTTACAAAATTCCAAATTTAAATTTTCTGGGTCGTGTGACGTCTGAGCTCTGAATTTTTCACTTCAGAACTTCTAAAACAGACATACACTGTATACTGCAGTTTCCAATCAATTAGAAACAAAAACTATAAATATTAAAGGTTAAAATGTTTATCTCCTACCTCTTTATTCATTAAGACATCAATAACTTTGTCAAATTCACCAAACAAGATTTTGAGATTTTTTGCTAATCACCTTTATATGGATGATGGACATGTTTACAATCAAATGAGAGAACAGATTCTCCTCTATGTCCAATTTACAATCATCCTTTTGAATTTGGTGTGCAAAATATTTACTTGATAGTAATGTATTTTCATGGTTTTATTGCTCTCAGTGGCTAAAGGAATATTTTTTAACCTATTTAAAGTTTACTTAGCAAACCGGATAAATTATATTAGTTGTGGAGAATTAAATTCTATATTTTGTATTCTAAAATGATTATTTGAAACTATGTGAATGCTTTTTCTCTGGACACCCAAATTTATGGGAATCACGAGGGCTTACAGGAGAACAGCTCAAACACACAGGAGTACTAGAAATCATTGTTTTCATGCATGTTTTTTATTTATTTATATATTTTTTAACAAAATAACTAAATGTAAAAATTATAAACTTCCCAGCTTAGCCTAACAAAACTTCAGTAAAATAAACTGTCTAAAGTTGCACTATCTCAAGCACCATTTCAAAATTTGACACTAGATCACATGCTGTTACATTAGCTCTGTGGGTTTTTGTTTTGAATTTCACGCAAAGCTACACGAGGGCTATCTGCCCCTAATTTAGCAGTGAAAGACTAGAGAGAAGGCAGCTAGTCATCAACACCCACCACCAACTCTTGGGCCACTCTTTTACCGACGAATAGTGGGATTGACCATCACATTTTAATGGCATAAATAGCCTGTTGTGTAGCTTTGTGTTTAACAACAAACAAATAAATTATTATTATAGGGTTAAATACCAACATGTTTAAAATTACACTTAGCTAACAGAAGATAAAAACATGTTCAGAAATACTCCCCCACCTAATGTTTCTGATTATAAACATGTCTATCGAGGTTAATTCATTGTATAGGTCATTGGTTAGGCCATATTTGGAGTATTGTATTCAGTTTTGGGCTCCTTACCTGAGGAAGAACATTGAATTGTTGGACAGAGTTCAGAATAGGGCTACTAGGATGATACCTGGGATGGAAAGGTTGTTGTCATATGAGAACATAAATTGCTTTATCTTGAAAAAAAGAAGAGTTGGAGGGGACCTTACTGAGGTGTTTAAGATTAAAGGAATTGATAGTGTTGATGCATTATCTTTTTATGAACTTAATGGTAGGACTAGGAGACACAAATATAAATTTGGGCAGTATAGGAGTCATCTTCAGCTAATACAGCTTTATTTTTCTAATGAGATGATTGTCCTTTAGATTTGGTGGATGCAGTTAATTTAAGGAGTTTAAGGGAAGGCTTGATAAATAAGGGCTTGCTTTGAGTGTTTTACTATTTTTTATTTTAAAGTTTAATTGTGAATTGAGACAACCTAGATGTACCAACAAGTCCCTTGTAGTCCTTAAATTATATATATGCATAAGGTTTAAGAACATAACTGTGAAAATAACTTCAATAAGCTGTATTTTTGCTGTTTGAAAACTTAAGTTTATACAGTTTCATTTGAAGAATTGATAGAGGCTTCTATCATTTTATTGTTTTTGAGGTATGGAATGGGTATTAATTTTAATTACTTTTTTTTTCAAAAGAAAACAGCCATGAACCAAAATAAGTCAGGTCTGCAAGTTTATTTATTGCTATTAACATGAAAAAGTTGTTGATGCAGTTTTTTGTGGAAACTATCTCACAAAATAATAAACGTCCCTAAAATTCTTAAATTTACACCTAAAACAATTGAAAATAAGTCACATTTTTGCTAAAAGGTGCTTGAAAGTGCAGAAGTTTTTCTTCTTAAGAAAGTTTAGTCTTCCCAACTTTCACAAAATTAGAACACATCACTTAATTTTATGAATGGATTAGTTATTTTATAATTCTTGTTTCATTCTTATTTAATATATGATTACTTATATATAATGTTTGTGTCTGTCTGTTTATTTAATACATATAGTTTAACAATTGCTAGAGATAGTGTGTCCAGTTCTATAAGGCAGTGTTTACTCAGTTGTATTTATGCCATCTTATCAATAAGAAAGGCTATTTCTTTACAAGTATTATTTTGTTACAGAAACAAAAATGACATGATAATAACAATACAAATGGGGTTAGCTTCTATGTTAAGCCCCAGCTGGAAGAAGTTTTGCAATTCTAATATTCTTACTTCATAGTGAGTTGCCGATTTTACGAGTCCCTCATTATGTTTCATGTATGACTAAGGTAGTTTATTTCTATTAATAATATCAAACTTCAGTCAATAAAAGCTATATCTAAAAGGTCCGCAACACTTATCAAGAAAGTAAAAGCATGTAACTGTTACATATCATTGCATAATATGCAAGACCCACTTCCTTGAAAAAGATAACATCAGATAGGTATTACATTGTGTCTAGATTAAATAGCTTATAGTTTATTATGGATCTCTTAGCAGCTGTCAAATTGCTTGAGAATTCCAGGTATGAAGTAGGCTCAGAAGTGATATTTTTTTCTTTTCACTTTTAGTCCACATAATTTGACCACGTCCTTCATTATCATTATATGTATACAAAAACTTGCTTTTTACGTATAAAAGTAGCTTGGAGTTTTTATTGTGTTCATTTTTAATTATAAACAACTTTACAATAAGAATAAGACATATGAACAGAAGATTTCTAACAAAACCATTTACTGAATCCAATTCAGACAATATTACAGTGAACATACTTGAAAAACATTTAAGCATAATAATTAAGGTTAGCCTTTTTCTTGGCCTGGACTTCTAGTATAGCATCCATAAAATCTTCATGAGTAACAACAGTGCCTCCTCGACGTAAAGCAATCATACCCTAAAAAGACAAGATTATACACAGAAAAGTTACATACTACTCATCATACTATTTTACTTTAATGACAAATTCTTCAAAACTTGAATACAGCACAACCTAAAGACAAATTTCAATTTGGTACATTTCTAGACTTGCTTATTATTTCTATGAAAAGTTTCTGGAAATTTGATATACTTGTTAATATAACAAACGTTTTTCTTCTTTTAATAAGATGAAAATGTAATCAGGTATTGGAGCCACTCAGTTTGAGTGACTGTTAATCATGACAAACACCGAACATCCAATAAAAACCTTTTTATGCCAAATCCCTTTGTCCATAATGATCTGTACACTTTGCACAGCCTATCAGTAAAAATTTCACCACAGGTGGAAATCTACATTAATTTTTCAACAAGTCCAGTGAGGCCTAATTCATAAAGAAATCCAAGGACATCCAAATATTTTATCTTTAAGTTATATAGGATTTATAATATTTAAAGTATTCATAATTAGAATAGAATATCACTTATGAACAACAATCATTCGGGGATTTATGATGACATTTTTGAACTTCATTATAAAAACATAATTAAACACCTTAACCCTCTCTCAAGCAAGGAGGAGGTCACTGATATCCCATTACTTGTTTTTTTTTCACAGTGGAAATTCTCAGGAGGGATCCCAAATATGAGAGCTGATATGTGTGTGTGGTGGGGGGTGGGGGGGGGGGTGGCGACCGAGGCCGAGTCTTAGAAAAACGTACTCCTCATATAGAAGAGTAGGTTGTATTACTTAAAATTTAGTTTTCTTCTTAGTTTAAAAGTAAAA